GATTCTGTTGTAAAAGTGAATTTCATGCAGCAAACCACTTGAAACGCTTAAAACAGGCCAGAAACATCATGAATTGCATACTGGCAGCCAACAACTGTGATTCTATGTATTTGAACTGATTCTGTTGTAAAAGTGAATTTCATGCAGCAAACCACTTGAAACGCTTAAAACAGGCCAGAAACATCATGAATTGCATACTGGCAGCCAACAACTGTGATTCTATGTATTTGAACTGATTCTGTTGTAAAAGTGAATTTCATGCAGCAAACCACTTGAAACGCTTAAAACAGGCCAGAAACATCATGAATTGCATACTGGCAGCCAACAACTGTGATTCTATGTATTTGAACTGATTCTGTTGTAAAAGTGAATTTCATGCAGCAAACCACTTGAAACGCTTAAAACAGGCCAGAAACATCATGAATTGCATACTGGCAGCCAACAACTGTGATTCTATGTATTTGAACTGATTCTGTTGTAAAAGTGAATTTCATGCAGCAAACCACTTGAAACGCTTAAAACAGGCCAGAAACATCATGAATTGCATACTGGCAGCCAACAACTGTGATTCTATGTATTTGAACTGATTCTGTTGTAAAAGTGAATTTCATGCAGCAAACCACTTGAAACGCTTAAAACAGGCCAGAAACATCATGAATTGCATACTGGCAGCCAACAACTGTGATTCTATGTATTTGAACTGATTCTGTTGTAAAAGTGAATTTCATGCAGCAAACCACTTGAAACGCTTAAAACAGGCCAGAAACATCATGAATTGCATACTGGCAGCCAACAACTGTGATTCTATGTATTTGAACTGATTCTGTTGTAAAAGTGAATTTCATGCAGCAAACCACTTGAAACGCTTAAAACAGGCCAGAAACATCATGAATTGCATACTGGCAGCCAACAACTGTGATTCTATGTATTTGAACTGATTCTGTTGTAAAAGTGAATTTCATGCAGCAAACCACTTGAAACGCTTAAAACAGGCCAGAAACATCATGAATTGCATACTGGCAGCCAACAACTGTGATTCTATGTATTTGAACTGATTCTGTTGTAAAAGTAAATTCCATGCAGCAAACCACTTGAAACGCTTAAAACAGGCCAGAAACATCATGAATTGCATACTGGCAGCCAACAACTGTGATTCTATGTATTTGAACTGATTCTGTTGTAAAAGTGAATTCCATGCAGCAAACCACTTGAAACGCTTAAAACAGGCCAGAAACATCATGAATTGCATACTGGCAGCCAACAACTGTGATTCTATGTATTTGAACTGATTCTGTTGTAAAAGTGAATTCCATACAGCAAACCACTTGAAACGCTTAAAACAGGCCAGAAACATCATGAATTGCATACTGGCAGCCAACAACTGTCATTCTATGTATTTGAACTGATTCTGTTGTAAAAGTGAATTCCATGCAGCAAACCACTTGAAACGCTTAAAACAGGCCAGAAACATCATGAATTGCATACTGGCAGCCAACAACTGTGATTCTATGTATTTGAACTGATTCTGTTGTAAAAGTGAATTCCATGCAGCAAACCACTTGAAACGCTTAAAACAGGCCAGAAACATCATGAATTGCATACTGGCAGCCAACAACTGTGATTCTATGTATTTGAACTGATTCTGTTGTAAAAGTGAATTTCATGCAGCAAACCACTTGAAACGCATAAAACAGGCCAGAAACATCATGAATTGCATACTGGCAGCCAACAACTGTGATACTATGTATTTGAACTGATTCTGTTGTAAAAGTGAATTTCATGCAGCAAACCACTTGAAACGCTTAAAACAGGCCAGAAACATCATGAATTGCATACTGGCAGCCAACAACTGTGATTCTATGTATTTGAACTTATTCTGGTGTAAAAGTGAATTCCATGCAGCAAACCACTTGAAACGCTTAAAACAGGCCAGAAACATCATGAATTGCATACTGGCAGCCAACAACTGTGATTCTATGTATTTGAACTGATTCTGTTGTAAAAGTGAATTTCATGCAGCAAACCACTTGAAACGCTTAAAACAGGCCAGAAACATCATGAATTGCATACTGGCAGCCAACAACTGTGATTCTATGTATTTGAACTGATTCTGTTGTAAAAGTGAATTTCATGCAGCAAACCACTTGAAACGCTTAAAACAGGCCAGAAACATCATGAATTGCATACTGGCAGCCAACAACTGTGATTCTATGTATTTGAACTGATTCTGTTGTAAAAGTGAATTCCATGCAGCAAACCACTTGAAACGCTTAAAACAGGCCAGAAACATCATGAATTGCATACTGGCAGCCAACAACTGTGATTCTATGTATTTGAACTGATTCTGTTGTAAAAGTGAATTTCATGCAGCAAACAACTTGAAACGCTTAAAACAGGCCAGAAACATCATGAATTGCATACTGGCAGCCAACAACTGTGATTCTATGTATTTGAACTGATTCTGTTGTAAAAGTGAATTCTGTTATATCTTTAGGTAAGTGCAAAGGATGAGGCGAATGTTACAATAACTGTTTAATGAGCGGTAGCGTAGAGCTCACATTGTACATGGCGCACAACAACAACAACAACGTGCTTACGTCATCACATAACTAACGTAGCCCAGTAAGGACAAAATATATCACATCTCCTCCCCCCTTACATTAGAAGTAGGATGATTTGTTTATCTCAAATAACATTTTTTTCTTTTTTTACAATAAGCATGCATAACTTCCAAATGCACATGTAGTAACTCCTTAAGTACAACATTAATTTCTTAGGTTTCTGAACTGTAATAAAACACTGCTCATTAGCAAAATCTATGGTCACTATCAGATCTACAAATTCAGACGGATAGGTGCTTTCCTTTCGCGAGTAGGGTAGCGACGTTCAAATGTTACATCAGCCTTATCTACTATAGGACTGGGTTCTGATACCGAAGCATTTCCAGGTTGATCAGAACTAACAACAGTAGGCCTGACAGGAGTAAACATTGGTAATGGTAACTCAGGTACACTATTATCTGTATTTTTGTCAAAGTCCATAGTCACAGACAGTTCAGGGGTGGTTTCAGGTGTTTTTAAGAGTTGGTCCACATGGCGGCGCCAAACACCATCAGTTGTCTGGACAGTATAGGATACAGGGCCAGTTTGGGCAATTACAGTGGCAGGAATCCACTTGACCTTGCCTTGATAGTTTCTGGCGAGCACTGAATCTCCTGGTGCCAAAACTCGATTCTTTGCGTGAATATTTCTCTGTTTTATTTGTTTCCTTTGGTTTGCCTGAACAATGTCCTTCACTGTTGGAGGTTTGAGAAGATCCAAGTTTGTCCGCAGTTCTCTGTTGAACATGAGACTTGCTGGTGAAACCTTTGTAGTTGAATGTGGCGTTGTTCGGTACTGAAGAAGAAACTCATGCAATCTTTGGTGGAGCGTACTTTGTCCTTGTGATATTTTAAGTGCATGTTTTAAAGTCTGCACAAACCTTTCTGCTAAGCCATTGGTTGCAGGGTGGTAGGGCGCTGACCTGATGTGTTGCACTCCATTGGCTTGAAGGAAATCTGACATTTCTTTTGACACGAGTTGAGGGCCATTGTCCGATACTAGCTGGACAGGGGCACCAAATCTACTGAAGATTTCTCCAAGTTCCTCAATAGTCTTTTCCGAAGTCGTGGTTCTCATAATAGCCACTTCTGGCCACTTACTGTGTGCGTCAACAGCAACCAAAAACATTTTGTCTTCGAAAGGACCCGCAAAATCAATGTGTATGCGATACCAAGGGTCCTGAGGAAAGTCCCATGGATGAAGTGGGGCTGCAGGAGGGTTGTTACGAGTTTTGTGACAGGATGAGCAAGTCATGGCCATGTGCTCAATCTGTTTGTCAAGCCCTGGCCACCAAAAATAGCTTCTTGCCATCTCTTTCATTTTGACAATTCCACTATGACCTGCATGGAGCTGCTCTAACATTTTAGTGCGCAGTGACTGTGGAATGATGACTCGCCTTCCCCATAGCAGACACCCAGACTGGACAGAAAGCTCCCACCTCCGGCCAAGGAAAGGTTTGAGGGTAACGCTATCACTTACTGACTGTCCCTTGATTACAATGTCCATAACCACTGATAATTCAGGGTCACTTCGTGTTGCCTTTTTTACTTGGGAAGCTGTTACGGGTGATTTTTCCACACTCTTGAAGTAAAAGATCTCCACTGTATTTGGTTCATGTTTTGTCACAGGGAGTGGTAAACGTGAAAGTCCATCCGCATTACAGTGGGCATCTGCTTTGCGGTACTTGATGTCGTAAGAGTGAGCTGACAACAGCAACGCCCACCTCTGTAGACGCGAAGCTGCAAGAGATGGTATTCCTATATGCGGTCCCAGGATAGTTGTCAGAGGACGATGGTCCGTAAAAAGTGTAAACTTCCTCCCGTACAAATATTGGTGAAATTTCCTCACACCAAAAACAATACTCAGTGCCTCTCGTTCCAGCTGAGCATAGTTGGTTTCAGCCTTGTTCAGTGTCCTTGAGGCAAATGCAATCGGTCTTTCTTCACCATTTGGAAACATGTGCGAAATAACAGCACCCACTCCGTAGGGTGATGCGTCGCAGGCCAGTTGGATTGGTAGTGAGGGGTTGAAATGCGTTAACACCTCGGAAGTGGTCAGGGCATCTTTAGCTCTCTGAAAAGATTTCTGACAGTCATTAGTCCATTTCCATTTTTTTTCTTGACATAACAGCTCGTGTAGCGGCTGTAGTAGCGATGCTAGGTTTGGTATGAACCTTCCATAGTAATTTAACAGCCCTAGAAAAGATCTCAGCTGACTCACATTTTCAGGTGGAGGTGCGTCAACGATGGCTGCGATCTTAGAGGGTGACGTGTGCAAGCCTTTTGCATCGATGACATGGCCAAGATACTCCACAGATGATTTCAGAAATTCACATTTTTCCTTGCGAAGTCTGAGTCCATACTCTCTTAGCCTTTGCAGTGTAGCATCCAAATTGCGAAGATGCTCTTCATCGTTTGCTCCTGTACAGAGAATATCATCCAGATAGCACTGTACGCCTTGTAAACCACTGAGAATTTGATCCATGGCACGCTGAAACAATGCCGGAGCCGACGTAATGCCAAAAGGTAATCTGCATTATCTGAAAAGTCCTTTGTGCGTGTTTATTGTCAGCATATCACGTGACTCCTTGTCCACATGCATTTCCAGGTACGCCTGATTTAGGTCGATTTTACTGAACTTTTCACCTCCACTCAGTCCTGCGAACAAATCATCAATCAAAGGAAGTGGGTATTGCTCTGCACTTAGCACCGGATTTACAGTCACTTTAAAATCTCCACACGTGCGTATACCTCCATTCTTTTTGGGTACTGGCACAATGGGAGTGGCCCATTCACTTGTTGTAACCGGTTCCAAAACGCCACTTTTAACTAAAGCGTCAAGATCTTTTTCCACTTGTTCACGTATGGCATAAGGCACTGACCTGGCCTTCAAGAACACTAGTTTGCTTCCTTCTTTGATGTGCAGTTTGACAGTGATCTTTTTCATGCTGCCTAACTCTGCTCGAAAAACCTCCTCATTTTGGTCCAGGATCGTTTGCAGTTGTGATGATCCATTAGACAGCCGTCTAACTTCTTGCCAGTCAAGATGTAGTGTTTTTAACCACCCACGTCCCATGATGGGTGCAAAGTTTCCCTTGGTGACATACACTGGTAACTTGGCAGTTTGGTTGTTGCACTGAACTGTTATGTCAGTCATTCCTTTTATTTGCACCTTGTGCCCAGTGTATGCCTTGAAAACAGTGTCAGAAGGATGTAAAGGAAGGTGTTTCATGCACTTCTTGTAGATTTGATATGACACAAGTGATGCCTTGGAGCCTGTGTCTATCTGCATTTTGACTGGATGCCCTTCCAAGTTGGCCTTGGCCCAGTAGCAGTCTGAGCCCTCATTCACACTCATTATGCGAATTGTATTCACCGTCATGTCTTCCTCTGAAGAAGAGCTTTGGTCATATTTCACTGTGTGTACTTGCCTTTTCTTTTTAAATTGGTCATAGTCTCTCTTGTCCTTTTTCTTACTTTTTTCAAATGTTTTCTTGTTTCGACATGCTCGTTCCACATGTCCTTTTTTTCCACATTGACGACAGTCCATTTCTTTACACCAGCAGGTGGATGCTAGATGCCCTGTTTTACCGCACCGAAAACACGGTCCTTGTGTATTGCTTTGACTATTTGCAATTTTGTGTACTCTGCCTGTAGCATTCAGTTGTTGGGCTTCTTTCGACGCCATTTCCATGGTTACACTGATATTGATTGCTTTTTCCAGAGTCAAATCACTTTCAGTTAACAACTTTTTCTGTGCCGCTTCATTTCTTAATCCACATACCAGTCTGTCCCTTAGCGTGTCGTTTAACACCTCCTTAAACTCACAATGTTCAGCTAACCTCCTCAAGGCTGCTACGAACACGATGACAGACTCCCCGTCCTCTTGATTGCGCTTGTGAAAACAAAACCTCTCCGCAATTATAAGGGGCTTGGGTGAAAAATGGCCCGTGAGCGTGTCCACGATCTCTTTGAATGTCTTACTGCCTGGTGTAGCCGGTTGTACCAAGCTACGGAGTAAGTTAAATGTCTTTGGGCCCATTACACTCAAAAATGTAGCCACTTTCTTTTCGTCTTCAATCCCGTTAGCTTCGACAAAATAGCCAAAACGCTCCGTGTACGAGCTCCACTGCTCCACACTTTCATCAAAGGGGCCGACTGAGCCGATAACTCCCGCCATATTAGCGCCTGGTTAATCAGCTTGTCACTTATTTTGATTGTAGTGCTCTTCCTTTAGCTTTCACAGTCCGTAGCACGAAATCCCCTTCACCTTTTATGCCGCTCCTTTCTCCTTCGCGCTCGTTCAGAACCTCCCTCCGCGAACCATTCCGCGGTCCCGAGGGCATGGGCACCGTCTATCACCTGGAGCTCCGCAACCCGCAGAAAAACTCGGCAAACAGCACCGCCGCAAGTTCAGACGTCCTCGTCGCCACTTTTGTTATATCTTTAGGTAAGTGCAAAGGATGAGGCGAATGTTACAATAACTGTTTAATGAGCGGTAGCGTAGAGCTCACATTGTACATGGCGCACAACAACAACAACAACGTGCTTACCTCATCACATAACTAACGTAGCCCAGTAAGGACAAAATATATCACAAATTCCATGCAGCAAACCACTTGAAACGCTTAAAACAGGCCAGAAACATCATGAATTGCATACTGGCAGCCAACAACTGTGATTCTATGTATTTGAACTGATTCTGTTGTAAAAGTGAATTTCATGCAGCAAACCACTTGAAACGCTTAAAACAGGCCAGAAACATCATGAATTGCATACTGGCAGCCAACAACTGTGATTCTATGTATTTGAACTGATTCTGGTGTAAAAGTGAATTCCATGCAGCAAACCACTTGAAACGCTTAAAACAGGCCAGAAACATCATGAATTGCATACTGGCAGCCAACAACTGTGATTCTATGTATTTGAACTGATTCTGTTGTAAAAGTGAATTTCATGCAGCAAACCACTTGAAACGCTTAAAACAGGCCAGAAACATCATGAATTGCATACTGGCAGCCAACAACTGTGATTCTATGTATTTGAACTGATTGTGTTGTAAAAGTGAATTTCATGCAGCAAACCACTTGAAACGCTTAAAACAGGCCAGAAACATCATGAATTGCATACTGGCAGCCAACAACTGTGATTCTATGTATTTGAACTGATTCTGTTGTAAAAGTGAATTTCATGCAGCAAACCACTTGAAACGCTTAAAACAGGCCAGAAACATCATGAATTGCATACTGGCAGCCAACAACTGTGATTCTATGTATTTGAACTGATTCTGTTGTAAAAGTGAATTTCATGCAGCAAACCACTTGAAACGCTTAAAACAGGCCAGAAACATCATGAATTGCATACTGGCAGCCAACAACTGTGATTCTATGTATTTGAACTGATTCTGTTGTAAAAGTGAATTTCATGCAGCAAACCACTCGCTCGAACATGGTGTTTCGTGATGGACAAACTGTGACTAGCACAGAAGTCCAACAACTGAACACCGCTCGGGTTCAGATCAGCGGGGCCGTTCTTCCCTATCACCCCTCTCCAAGTGTCACTGGCATTTCCCACATGGGCGTTGAAGTCCCCAAGGAGAATAACGGAGTCCCCGGGCGGTGCACCGTCCAGTACACCTCCCAAGGACTCCAAGAAAGCCGGGTACTCTACACTGCTGTTAGGCCCGTAGGCCGTCACAACCGTGAGAGACTTGTCCCCCACCCGAAAGCGGAGGGACGCGACCCTCTCATTCACCGGGGAGAACTCCAACACGTGGCGGCTGAGATGGGGGGCAATGAGTATGGCCATCCCAGCTCACCGCCTCTCCATGCGAGAGACACCAGAAAAGTGGAGCGTCCAACCCCTCTCAAGGAGTTGGGTTCCAGAGCCCAAGCTGTGTGTGGAGGTGAGGCCGACTATCTCTAGCCGGTATCGCTCGACCTCCCCCACGAGCTCTGGCTCCTTCCCCCCCAGCGAGGTGACGTTCCACGTCCCAAGAGCCAGATGTTGTGTGTGCGGACTGGGTCGCCGAGGTCTCCGCCTTCGGCTGCTGCCCAGTCCTCTCAGCACCGTTTCGTCACCACGGACCCCTCTGCAGGTGGTGGGCCCACAGGAGGGACTGCCCACGTCGTCCTTTCGGGCTGAGCCCGGCCGGGCCCCGTGGGCTAAGGCCCGGCCTCCAGGCGCTCGCATACGAGCCCCGACCCCAGGCCTGGCTCCAGGGTGGGGCCCCGGCTGCGCCATGCCGGGCGACGTCACTGTTTTTCTTTTAGTGCTGTCCATGGTGTCTTCGGACCGCTCTTTGTCTGACTCGTCACCTGAGACCTGTCTGCCATGGGAGACCCTACCAGGGGCATGAAGCCCCAGACAGCATAGCTCCCAGGATCATCCGAGTACTCAAACTCCCCCACCACGTTAAGGTGGCAGTCCAGGGGGGAGAGCAGTCCAGGGGGGAGTCCATGTTATATGTTATAACATGCTATTTCAATTGACTGAGGAGACACTTGAATTAGTACTGAGTTTGTTCAATCTTGTCTGGGACACTGGGAGCATTCCTATGTCTTGGAAACAGTCTGTTATAGTCCCAGTGTTGAAGCCGGGAAAATCACCTTTTGTCCCGTCAAGCTACAGGCCTATTGCATTAACATCACAGCTGGGAAAGACTATGGAGCGCATGGTAACAGAAAAATTAAACTTTATTTTAGAAACCCAGAATTTGCTTTCCACTCACCAAAGCGGCTTTCGTAAAGGTAGGAATACCATGGACTCTGTACTGTGCCTGGAATCAGATATTCAAAAAGCAAAGACAAATAAATAAAAGGTTATTGCTGTGTTTTTTGATGTCGAGAAGGCGTATGATATGGTGTGGAAAGAAGGCCTGCTCATTAAGTTGTGCAAAGTTGGTATTGGGGGTAAGTTACTGAATTGGGTTAAAAGTTTCCTGTTTGATAGAAAGATTCAAGTCAGGGTTGGAGCCACGCTTTCCGATGTTTATAATGTTGAAAATGGTATTCCTCAGGGAAAGCGTGTGTAGCCCAATCCTGTTTAATGTTATGGTTAATGATATTTTTGAGGGTGTCGATCGTTCTGTTGGGCGAAGTTTGTATGCGGATGATGGTGCATTGTGGGTTAGGGGGAGAAACCTTGCATTTATTGTAAAGAAGCTACAAAGAGCAATACAGCAAGTGGAGAAGTGGACACTAGACTGGGGATTTAAGTTGTCTAAGAAGAACTAAGAAGGTGCGGTGCTTTTCTAACAACCACCCATGGGTGACCCCTGAGCTTAAAGCCCTCCTGAACCTCAAGAAAAGGGCTTTCATCTCAGGGGACAGGGAGGAGCAGAAGAGGATCCAGCACGAGCTCCAGTGGAGGATCAGGAGGGCCAAGAAGGACTACGGGAAAAAGCTGGAGCAGAAGCTGGCCCAGGGAAACGCCCGCGACGTGTGGAGAGGCCTAAAGAACATCTCCGGCTTTGGACAGAGTGCCAGAGGAACAGCAGATGGAGACCAGCACCGGGCGGACGAAGTTAACCAGCACTTCAACCGGTTTGATTCTCCCCCCTCTCCATCTGCCCCCCCCCTCCCGCCCCCACCTCTTCACACGTCCCCAGCCCAGTGGACACTGCCTCCGGCTGCCCCGGGCCCTCCTGCCCCCGCATCCCCAGCCCCCACCTCGGACAGTACACCCCAGTCCCCCCCCCTCTCCATCACACCGGACCAGGTGAGGAGTCAGCTCCAGCGCCTGAAGCTGAGGAAATCCGCAGGACCGGACGGGATCAGTCCCAGGCTGCTGAGGACCTGTGCAGACCAGCTCTCTGGGGTCCTCAGCTACATGTACAACCTGAGCCTCAGCCTGGAGAAGGTCCCTGTCCTGTGGAAGACCTCCTGTGTGATCCCGGTTCCAAAAACAGCACACGCCAAGGAACCGGCTCACTACAGACCAGTCGCACTGACCTCCCACCTGATGAAGACCATGGAGCGGCTCATCATCTACTTCCTGCAGCGGACGCTCTCCCACCTGGAGCCCGCCGGGAGCGCTGTGAGGGTCATGTTTTTCGACTTCTCCAGCGCTTTCAATACCATCAGGCCAGCACTGCTGCGGGGGAAGATGGAGGACGCGGGAGTGGACAGTAGCCTCACTGCATGGACCATCAACTACCTCTCAGACCGACCACAGTACGTGCGGCTGCGCAGCTGTGAGTCTGAGGTGGTCGTCTGCAGCACTGGGGCCCCTCAGGGCACTGTCCTCTCACCGTTTCTCTTCACCATCTACACCTCAGACCTCACACACGACACACACAGCTGTCACCTGCAGAAGTTCTCCGACGACTCCGCCATCGTGGGCTGTGTGTCTGAGGGGAACGAACTGGAATATCGGTCGGTTATCAAGGACTTTGTTGACTGGTGTGAGCGCAACCACTTGTGCTTGAACACCAGTAAGACCAAGGAGATGGTCATCGACTTCAGGAGAAAACCACTTTCCCACACGCTGCTGAACATCCAGGGGGAGGACATTGAGCTGGTGGACAGCTTCAAGTACCTGGGTGTTCACATTAACAATAAACTGGACTGGTCCCATAATACAAACGCCCTGCACAAGAAGGGCCAAAGTCACCTCTTCCTTCTGAGGAGGCTGAGGTCCTTCGGAGTGAGCAGGCCTCTGCTCAGGACTTTTTATGACTCTGTGGTAGCTTCTGCCATTTACTACGCTGCCGTGTGCTGGGCCCCGGGCAGCACAGAGCGGGACAGAAACAGACTGAACAAGCTGGTCAGGAGGGCCAGCTCCACTCTGGGCTGCTCCCTGGACTCTGTGGAGGAGGTGAGGGACAGGAGGGTGCTAGCCAAAGCCACCTCCATCATGAACAATACCTCCCACCCACTGCACAGGACTGTAGAGGAGCTGAGGAGCTCCTTCAGTGGAAGACTGAGGCACCCTCAGTGTAGGAAGGAGCGCTACCGCAGGGCCTTTATCCCCACCGCTGTCAGACTGTACTTTAAGTCACTTTAAATGATCACTGTGTGAAAACCTGCACTACTATTGACACTGTTTCCAATTGACACTTGTCACTTTTTGTTGTACATAATTATTGTCACTTTATTGTACATATATCCTGCATGTAACATGTTTGCACATTTCCTCCCTTTGCACAATCTGAGTGTTCTATCCATGCCAAATGTGACATGTAAATTTCTCCTCTGTGAAATAAATAAAGCAATCTTATCTTATCTTATCTTATCTGTGCCAAAGTCCCAAGTGATTTGTTTCTGCAGCCGTCACAAAGCAATTTCCCTGAAACTATATGGACAAGCGCTTGAACAAGTGAAGGAAACTACGTTTTTAGGTGTAATTTTTGATGAAAAACTCACATGGCGTCCTCATATTGAAAAAGTTCAAAATAAATGTAAAAAAGTTAATAATTTGTTGCGTTGTTTATCTGGCCAGGACTGGGGAGGCAGTAGGAAATCAAT